AGTAAGGACTCTTGTTCTTTAAGACTTTTTTTCTTTCAGTTGTTCTTCTCTGTTTAAAAGACTTTCTCATAAGCCTAGTCTCTTTCAGTTGTTCTGAGTTCTAGTCTTTTTCTTTAAGACGTGTGTTTTATTTCGCATCCCCAAACTTCCTTTGTTATCAAGCAATAACAAGTCTTTGCCTCAAGCCTTCTAAAAGACTTTCTCATAAGCCTAGTCTCTTTCAGTTGTTCTAAGTTCTAGTCTTTGTCTTAAAGACTTTTTTTTTGAGCCGTGTGTAAGTAAGGACTCTTTTTCTTAAGACTTTTTTTCCTTCAGTTGTTCTATTTTTTTCTTTCAGTTGTTCTATTTGTCTAAAGACTCTTTCAGTTGTTTCTCTTTGTCTAAAAGACTTTCTCAGAAGCCTAGTCTCTTTCAGTTGTTCTGAGTTCTAGTCTTTGTCTTAAAGACTTTAAAGACGTGTGTTTAATTTTGCATCCCCAAACTTCCTTTGTTATCAAGCAATAACAAGTCTTTGCCTCAAGCCTTATCTTAACCGTTTGTCACTTTCTCCATCCAATTTATAGTCTTAAAGACTTTTTGTACTAGTAGTGAAGTAGTGAATCTGTTTCAGTTCAGTCTTTGTCTTAAGACTTTCAAAAGCCGAGGGTACTTAGCCAGCAATGGATTCACTACTTTCACTAAAGCCGTGGGTTCCAAAGACTCTTTCAGTTGTTTCTCTTTGTCTAAAAGACTTTCTCATAAGCCTAGTCTCTTTCAGTTGTTCTAAGTTCTTCTCTTTGTCTAAAAGACTTTCTCATAAGCCTAGTCTATTTCAGTTGTTCTGTGTTTTATTTCGGATCCCCAAACTTCCTTTGTTATCAAGCAATAAAAAGTCTTTGCCCCAACCCTTATCTTAACCGTTTGTCACTTTCTCCATCCAATTTTTAGTCTTCAAGACTTTTTGTACTAGTAGTGAAGTAGTGAATCTGCTTCAGTTCAGTCTTTGTCTTTAGACTTTCATAAGCCGAGGGTACTTAGCCAGGAATGGATTCACTACTTTCACTAAAGTCGTGGGTTCCAAAGACTCGTTCAGTTGTTTCTCTTTGTCTAAAAGACTTTCTCATAAGCCTAGTCTCTTTCAGTTGTTCTAAGTTCTAGTCTTTGTCTTAAAGACTTTGTTATCAAACTTCCTTTGTTATCAAGCAATAACAAGTCTAAGTTCTAGTTTTATTTTGCATCCCCAAACTCCTTTGTTATCAAGCAATAACAAGTTCTAAGTTCTAGTTTTATTTTGCATCCCCAAACTTCCTTTGTTATCAAGCAATAACAAGTCTAAGTTCTAGTTTTATTTTGCATCCCCAAACTTCCTTTGTTATCAAGCAATAATAAGTCTTTGCCTCAAGCCTTATCTTAACCGTTTGTCACTTTCTCCATCCAATTTATAGTCAAAAGACTTTTTGTACTAGTAGTGAAGTAGTGAATCTGTTTCAGTTCAGTCTTTGTCTTAAGACTTTCATAAGCCGAGGGTACTTAGTCAGCAATGGATTCACTACTTTCACAAAAGGCCGTGGGTTCCAAAGACTCTTTCAGTTGTTTATCTTTGTCTAAAAGACTTTCTCAAAAGTCTAGTCTCTTTCAGTTGTTCTGAGTTCTAGTCATAAGACTTTTTTTTTCTTTCAGTTGTTCTTCTCTTTGTCTAAAAGACTTTCTCATAAGCCTATTCTCTTTCAGTTTTTCTAAGTTCTAGTCATAAGACTTTTTTTCTTTCAGTTGTTCTTCTCTGTCTAAAAGACTTTCTCATAAGCCTAGTCTCTTTCAGTTGTTCTGAGTTCTAGTCTTTTTCTTTAAGACATGTGTTTTATTTCGCATCCCCAAACTTCCTTTGTTATCAAGCAATAACAAGTCTTTGCCCTCAAGCCTTATCTTAACCGTTTGTCACTTTCTCCATCCAATTTATAGTCTTAAAGACTTTTTGTACTAGTAGTGAAGTAGTGAATCTGTTTCAGTTCAGTATTTATCTTAAGACTTTCAAAAGCCGAGGGTACTTAGCCAGCAATGGATTCACTACTTTCACTAACGCCGTGGGTACAAAATTAAAGTGTGGCTCTTTCAGTTGTTCTTAGACTTTTTCATAAGCCGTGGTCGTTTCTTCCAATCCAGGCAACAAACCCATAAAGACTTTTAGCCGTGTCTTATTTCCCATCCCCTTATATCCATCCTTAGACATGCACTACCAGCCCATACATCACAACCTTGAGGCAACTGTTAGATTAATGTCTGCCTGATATCTTTTTGGGTCTTTCAGTTGTTCTAGTGTTTTTCTAACACTTTTTCATAAGCCTTTTATAAGCCGTGGTCGTTTTTTCCATTCCACGCAACAATCCCATAGTCTTTCACTAGACTTTTAAGCCGTGTCTTATTTCCCATCCTTCCTTAGACATGCACTACCAGCCATTTCCCATCACAACCTTGAGGCAACGGGACAATGTTACCAAAATAAGAATATGACAGGACATTATTAGATTAGTGTCTGCCTGATATCTTTTTTGGGTTTGACTCTTTCGGTTGTTCACTTTGTCTTGAACTCTTTTTAAATAAGCGTTTTTTCCATTCCACGCAACAATCCCATAGTCTTTCTCTAAACCAGCAAAAGAGAAAGGAAAAGAGCTTATCTGTTTGCTGCTGCTACTTCTTTATTAGCTCATCTCTGAATAGGATAACCTGCAACAATGCAGAACAAGAAATTGTAAAGAGTCACAAGCATAATATTGATCAGGCAGAGAAGAGTATGACTTGATGCCAAAGAAGGTTCCTTTCTTAATCATAATCAAGATCTATTTGTTATACGAGTAAAGCCATGTGTAAATTGTTGACTTTCTGTAAAACACATCCTATTTTCAAAAATCCTAAGACACCGTCGATTTCAATTGCATAAACATGAATCTCATGGACGAGAACAGATCATATGCGTTTGTAGCCAAAAAATAGAAAACCCAATTATGCAGATGATTACAAAAAAAACCAACATATCAGGAAACCCTAATTTAGAAAGAGAAATACCTCGGTTCGATGATGGGGTTTCACACGGACTCAAGCCTCCGGGTTGATTCAGTCCAAGATCACCCGCATACGATTCTATAAGAAGAATTAGGAGACTTGAAAACCCTGAAACAAAATCGCGAAGAGGAAGAGGGGGTTAACGCAATCGATCGCATCAGTTTCACGGAGAATCAAATTCAGAAACGAAAACCCTAAATAAGATCAAATCCTAAGAAAATTGAATAATCTAGAGAAAAGAAACGGACTTTTCCGTTTACGAATGGTCAAAGAGTTGATCGAGAGTAATTACCTCAGAGTATTCATCGTAAGAAAGAGAGAGACGATTTGGGGAAAGTTTTGCGATGAGCCCCATCTTCTTCCTCCGATACTGACAATTTGGGGGAAAATACAGTTTTGCGGAGAGTTTTTTTTTTGTTCAACTGCGAAGAGTTATAAGTTAAATCGAATAAGATGATAAGACGGTGTATCTAACGAACGTATTTTCAAACCGAATTAATTATCATGGGCCTGGCCCAACCAAAACCAAAGCGGTTTTAAATTTCCGTCGTTGATCTGTTCCACGAACCCCATCGGACGGTCAACATTCTCCACGATTCTCGGTTAGTGTACGACTCCCGGTTTTGTCAATTTGGCAGGTTTAGATGGTTTTCGATGTAGTAAAACCCAATAAAGTCCAATCATTCAAATTTCAAATTTTTTACTTTTACGCTCTTGACTCCATAAGACGAAGATCTCTGCGGTTTTTATTTTACCGTTGCTTCAATAGCGAATTTAATTTCAAACACATATCTAACCACAACAACTAAAACCCCATCTTCCAAAATAAAAAAAAACATAGTCAATCTCTGATGCAATCTTGCTCCCATAATCTGGTTAGTTCGGAATCTAGGTCAATTTGACGCCTATAATTGCTTTCGGGGAGAAACTTCCCATACTAGAGATTGTATATATCAGGAAAAATCAACTTCTTTATTAAAAAAAAAAATAAAAAATCCACTAACATGATTGTATATATAAAGAAAAATCCAATACATGACTATACCAACTTAATATAACTTTATAACACACAAAAAAGGTCCACAAAAATGTAATAATAGATTTTGCGTTGCCATATAATATTCAAGAATACCTCGAGCGAATCGGAAAATGCATTTACGAATTGCGAGACCCTAGCATGGCTTTCGTGGGACGAGGATCATGGATGAATATTGACTAACTATCTTCTTGACCAACATTGCGGCCGGAACTGATTTCATGAAGAAGACGAAATTTACTGTTAAACTTTTTGGCCCAAAATTGGTCCATCTTTTTTAAGTACTTTAGTTAATTCATTTTTTTTTTTTTATAACAATAAAGTACTCTACTCTGACAAAAGAAAAAGGGCAATAACTCTACTTTAAAAGAGTATTTATTTTCTGGGGTCTACACTTTACCGTATACGAATCACACATAACAATATTAAATTAAACGATTAATTACACAATATACAAAAACCAAGTATATTAACACTTTAACAGAGTAAAAAAAAAAACAGAGGTATTATTATAGGAAACAAGTATACACGAAATAAAAATAAAATTAGGAGTTAATTATAGGAAACTTTACACATCCGTGAAGCAACACCGTTTGTTCTTCCTTGTTCTCCGCCGCATCCTCTCGCTCCATGAAAGATGAAATTCGTCTCAGAGTAGCTTCTTCCACATTCCTCTTTACACAAATTCGCACTTTCGCGTCTCTCATCCACTCTTCTCAATTCGAAAAACCGAGCTCTCTCTCGTCCAATCTCGTAGATTTCTCTCGATTCCCAAAAAGCAGATCGTCCCAGAAGGAATGTAGCAAACTCTCGCCGGAACTTAACCGTTACAAAATTCCCGGTGTATCGAGCTGATTCCCGTCTTCGCAGTAGCCCTAATTTCAATAATCCGATGTGCCTTAGAAACTTTTGATTCTCCTTAATAGCAATGGCGGATAAGAACAGCTCCGCAATCGGGTACGTAGCCCGGAATCTACTGCTCTGCTTGTTCGTCGTCACGACGATCCTCTTCGCTCTCTCTTGTTACTTCGTGTTGCGCTCCACTGCTCACAACCGCTTCCTCAGCTCCACATTCCCGTCGAGACCGTTCGTTTCCTCCACAGACGACGCGATTGCGAAAGCCGTAAAGCGTGAGAGAGAGAATTGCAGATGCGATCATAAGGACGAGAAATCGAAGTCTCCTCTTAAGGTTTACATGTACGACATGGATCCCGAGTTTCATTTCGGATTGTTAGACTGGAAACCGGAAGGGAAGAAGAAGAAGAGCAGTGTGTGGCCTGATATCCAGAAGTTTATACCTCCTTATCCCGGAGGCTTGAATCTGCAGCACAGCATCGAGTATTGGCTCACATTGGATCTCCTCGCATCGGCGTATCCAAACACTCCGAGTGCAAATGCTGCGAAACGAGTTTATAACTCCACCGAAGCTGATGTGATCTTTGTTCCTTTCTTCTCTTCATTGAGTTATAATCGGTTCTCTAAAGTGAATCCTCACCAGAAAACGAGCAGGAACAAGGATTTGCAGCGAAAGCTTGTTGCTTTCTTGACTGCTCAGGAGGAGTGGAAGAGATCTGGTGGTAGAGACCATGTGGTTCTTGCTCATCATCCTAATAGCATGTTGGATGCAAGAAACAAGCTTTTCCCTGCAATGTTTATACTCTCTGACTTCGGTAGGTACCCTCCTACTGTGGCCAACGTTGAGAAAGATGTCATTGCGCCTTATAAGCATGTTATCAAGACTTACGATAACGATACCTCCGGTTTCGATAGCAGACCTACTCTGCTCTACTTTCAGGGTGCTATCTACAGGAAAGATGTGAGTTCTACTGAGTATTCTGCTCTGTGTTTTTGTTAACCATAACAAGTTGGCTTACTTTTGCTTGCAATTTCGTCATATATCTCTCTCAGGGTGGGTTTGTGCGTCAGGAGTTGTTTTACCTCCTGCAAGATGAGAAAGATGTGCATTTCTCGTTTGGGAGCGTGAGAAACGGAGGGGTGAACAAAGCGAGCCAGGGGATGCACAGCTCCAAGTTCTGCCTCAATATTGCCGGAGACACGCCTTCGTCAAACCGTCTCTTTGACGCCATTGCTAGTCACTGTGTACCTGTCATTATCAGTGACGAGATTGAGCTTCCTTTTGAGGATGTTATTGATTACTCTGAGTTTTCGGTGTTTGTTCGCACCACTGATGCGTTGAAAGAGAACTTTCTGGTTAATTTGATAAGGGGGATAAGCAAAGAGGAGTGGACGAGAATGTGGAATAGATTGAAGGAAGTGGAGAAGTTTTATGAGTTTCATTTTCCGTCGAAGGTTGATGATGCGGTCCAGATGATATGGCAAGCGATTGCACGCAAAGTTCCGAGTGTGAAAATGAGGGTTCATAAGTCTCGGAGGTTTTCTGGATCTGCTTCTGAGGTAGAGAAACAATCAATATGGTCATTGATACCAAGGAATTTCTGGTGAATAAAGATTTGAGGTTTTTTTTGTTTCTTCATTTTCTCGGAAGGCTTTGACAGTGACATGAAAATCGTTTTTGTGTAGAGAGAAGATTTGTGAACTTTTTTTTCCAAATCGTAGGTTATATAGTCAGAGAGAGAGATAAGTCTTCATTATAATTTTGATTTCTGCTGTTTCTCCAAAGGAAAAGAATAATGTTGTAAGTTAATTTTGTTAATTGTTCATTTTGATCTCTTTTTGTTTTCATTTATGGTAAACATAGTTTAATGGTTTAAGTTGATACATTGAAGTAGCCAAACAGATTTACATGCAGAGAATGATATATCTCATCTCCCATACCCGTCCAAGATTGTGTGAGTAACAGATATAGAAAATGATGAGTTCCTTAAACTAGGGACGACCACAGTAGCAGGTGATGCTTCCGTTGAAACCGGCATAAAAGCTCCAACACCTGGAGTTTCCGGCGAGAAATCCGGTAAGGTTAGGTCCATGTTTAGGTATTGCACCACTTGTCCCATGGTAGGCCTTGATTCCGGCATAGCATTTGTGCAGAGCAACCCAAGTTTCAGAACCATCTCGGCTTCCTCGGGTATGAACTCTCTTCCCATTCTTGAATCTATGGTCTCGAGTAACGAAGCTTGTTTCCAGCATTCGCAGACCCACTTGACCAAATACTTCTTTCCAACTTGCAGCTCAGGTTCCACAGGTCTCCTTCCACAAACCACTTCAAGAAGGAAAGCACCAAACGCATACACATCGGTCTTCACAGAAGGTCCCGTTATTATAAGCTCAGGTGCCATGTAACCTATAGTTCCCACAGCTGCTGTTGCAGACAAGTTAGCTCCATGGTCATGAAACTTAGCCATACCGAAATCACCCAACCTTCCACTGAACTCAGAATCTAACATGACATTAGAAGCTTTTATATCCCGGTGCAAAACAACTTGCTTGGCTCCTGTATGCAAGTAACTAAGAGCCGAGGCAATGTCCTTAACAACAGAGATCCTTCGCAACCATGAAGGAGATGCGTTTTGGTCATGAAACAAGAACTGGTCAAGACTACCATTAGGCATGTAGTCAGAGACCAGAAGCAACTCACCTATCCTCCTGCAATATCCAAGAAGAGGAACCAAGTTCCGATGCTGTAGATTCCCCATAGTTACAACTTCTGCCACAAACTGTTTCATTCCTTGCTCTGCATCGTGAGACAGTCTCTTCACAGCTATACGTCTGCTTAGAGGCAGAGTTCCTCTGTAGACTTCTCCAAACCCACCTTTCCCAATACGACAATCTTTGCTAAAACCATTTGTTGCTTTGTACAGAGACTTGTAAGAGAATCGGTGTGGACCGTATTCCTTTTCCCAAGATTCTTTTACTTCTGCATACTTGTTTCTCCTATACAAATAAACTCCTCCAAGAATTATCAACACAGGGATCACCAGTAAGACGACCAGACCAATAACCAGAGGAGAAACTTTATTTTTCTCCTCTCTTGGAAGAGGAACCTGAGGGAGATTAGAGAGGTCTAGAGACTGTAAACGTTCTTTGCTTCTACTAAAACTCCACGCAAGAATATAATGGTTACTGAGAAGGTTCCCTGTTGATGCAGAGAAGCCAGCATACATCTTTTCTTGAAAAACTTCTGACAGATTAATGGATCTTGATATAAGAGGCCGGTTTGGTTTCTCGATCTCTATAGGAGCCAGAGAAATGTTAAGCAACGATCCATCGTAATCCACCCATACCTGGATAGGCTCTCCACTCAGAAGATTTATGCTTATATTCTTCTTTAAGGTGTTGGAGAAGTAAGATGGGAGAGCAGATTCAACAGATATTGGGCTGTTCACATCAATCCCAACGTGAGGCTCCTCAACTCGTTAAACTCTACTGTCTTAACAGTATCAAGCTCAATAGCTAGCAGATGAGAAGAAGAAGAAGAAGAAGAAGTCTCGTTTGTTGGGTTGCTGAAGACGCCCATGTACTGAGTTGCGAGAGCATGTGAGAGATCCATGGAAGGAGATACAACAAAGGCAATTCCATGGCCACCATCAGCTCCCAACTTAGGAGGCACCAACGCACACACGAAATGTGTATAGAAGGAAAGTGATGAAGATGGATGGAAATCAAATGGCTGCTTGAAGAAAGCATGGCCCATTTGTAACTCTGTGGTATTTGTAAGCTGCAAAAGACCATCAGGTAAGATCTTGGCGAGCCCATCTATGAAGAGATCTGCTTTATGGAAGCCAATGTAGACAAAGCTTGTTTCTTGTTGACTTGACAAGAAAATCAGATGAACACATGAGAAGATCAAAACCAGATGAATTCTACAAGCCATGGTTGCTGAAATAGAGAAGAAAATCTGTTTTCTTTTTTTTTACTGATACAATCTCTCTCTTCGGTAACAAGAAATCTCTAAAGCTTCAATGCAAAAACAAGGTCTAGTCATAACTTAAGGAGAAAAAGTCAAACGCATTTGGCAACGTTCAATGTCCTCCACATTTCCTAGTAATTGCTTAGGAACTAATTTTGTCAGCCAAACACAGTTGACTTCATGATAATATAACTAAAGATGAGCATGACATTATCATATGATTATTCAAATTTTAATTACATCAAATAGATGAAAAAATTATTCGTAGCTCAGCTGAAGCAAACAAAAGCAAGATTAGTTCTTCTCTCACTTTTGCATAAATGCCTTGGAGTACAAGTTATAGTCCAAGCATTCAAAAGTGAGAGGCCCAAATCTATGGGCTTTGAACATAAAGTCCAACGAGGCCCAAATCAACCTTTAAGGATCGTAAATGAATCCATCACCGTTTCTCTTAAAACCTCAGCTTCGCACCTCCTCCCGCCAAAATTAGAAGATGTCCGGCGATAATTCGACGGCGGTTCGCCGAAAACGCAGCCGAGGCGCGGAGGCTTCGACTCGGAAGGTTGCCCTAGAGCGGCTGAAATCGATTCGGCAAGGAGGAGGTGGTGGGTTCGACATTAGGCTCGAACAGCCGATCTTCGACACAGTTGATGACGACGAGTACGACGCACTTGTGTCCCGGCGGCGTGAGGAGGCTCGCGGGTTTGTAGTCGAAGACGGTGGAGAAATTGGCGGCGATCTGGGGTATTTCGACGACGGTGAGGAGGAGGATTGGTCGAAGCCCAGTGGAGCAGAGTCGACGGCGGATGAATCAGATAGACTGAAAACTGAGAAGAAGAAGAAAGGAAAAGAAGAAGCTCATGTTAAGAAGGCGAATCCGTCGCTTAAGGCTGCGGCTACTATTACAGGTGAAGGAAGACTCTCTTCCATGTTCACATGCTCCAGTTTTAACAAGGGCAAAGAGAGTGATAAGGTCAAATGTGAGGGTATTCTTGACGAGGCATTAGCCGAGGTTACTCCAGACGATACTGATAGAGAGAGGCATAAGAGAAGGAAACAACCAGCTACAGTTCCGATCAAGAACAAAAATCTGGTCGATTGTGTTTCCATGGAGAAAGTGGAGGAAGATGATATTGTTGTTATAGAGGAGAATGGATCAAAGAAGATTGATGCGAAGGAGGAGGTGTTTACATTGAATGCAACAGTTGATATGAAAGAGAAGGATCCGGCTTTAAGCGCCACTGCTGGCTGGAAGGAAGCCATGTGCAAAGATGTTCTTCCACTTGGTTCTGATGGTGAATTGCAGACGGAATTTGATTTGGATGCTGATGGATCACTTCGTTTTTACATTCTTGACGCTTACGAGGAAGCTTTTGGCGCTAGTATGGGCACAATACATCTGTTTGGGAAGGTGAGTGAGTGAGTGAGTCTCTTGGGATTATTCTTTAAAGTTGTTCTTTGGCATTGTGTGGTTAATCTAGAGATTAACCCTCTTAGGTTAAAATGGGAGATACGTACAAGAGTTGCTGTGTTGTGGTTAAGAATATACAGAGATGTGTTTATGCTATTCCAAATGATTCAGTATTTCCTTGCCATGAGCTGATCATGCTCGAGCAAGAATTGAAAGAGTCTCGACTTTCTCCTGAATCGTTCCGTGGGAAGTTACATGTGAGTTTTGAGTTCTACTATTACCTGCTAATACTAAGAGGAAGCAATATGATATTTCCTCTATTATTTATTGTTTTTTGAACGTGTCTTTTTCAGGAAATGGCATCAAAACTGAAGAAGGAAATCTCTCAGCAATTGTTACAACTCAATGTTTCAAAGTATAGCATGGCAATTGTCAAGGTTTGTGGTATTTTACTTTTTAAAATTTTCATGTATTCTAGCAGACAAAACTTTCCTTTTGACTCTTCTCTGTTTCTTCTCTCCTTGGATAAATATTCAGAGAAACTATGCATTTGAGAGGACTGATGTGCCTACTGGCGAACACTATGTTTTGAAGATAAATTATCCTTTTAAGGTAACATTTCACCTTCAAAAACTTCTCTGTTTTTGTTTTCTTTTGTAATTAACGTACTCAAACACCATGACACTTTTGTTTTTCTTGTTATCATAGGATCCTCCACTTCCAGAAGACCTTAAAGGAGAGTCTTTTTGCGTTTTGTTCGGCTCTCACACCAGGTTTTCGATTCTTTTCTTACTGCTGAGTTTCATTACCTTTCCCTGTTTTTTTATAGTCTATTAGTTAACTTTGCATTTACTGGTCCTTTGAAAGCTTCTTAGTAGTTAACTATGTTTGCACGCTAATAAAGTTAATTTATATGCAGTGCTTTGGAGCTTTTTGTACTTAAAAGGAAGATCATGGGACCTTCTTGGCTCAAAATCTCAAGATTTTCTACCATGTCGCCATCTCAGCGAGTAAGGCCTTGAAAAAGTACCATGATCATTTTACTAGTGATTTTTTTTTTTTCTTCCAATAATGAGGACTTGACCACTTGTGCAGGTGAGCTGGTGCAAGTTTGAGGTTACTGTTGAATCTCCCAAGGTTATCACTGTTATAATCCCGGAGGAAAAAACGTTTCATCCTCCTGCTGTCGTTACAGCCATTAACTTAAAGACTATAGTCAATGAAAAGCAGAACATCAGCGAAATTGTTTCCGCCTCTGTTCTCTGCTTTCACAACACCAAGGTTTGTTCTAACAACATTTTTGATTTGACCAATGCTTCTTAGCCGTTGTTTCTTCTCTCTCTCAATTATTTGGATGTGTCCATGAGTGTCGTGACCTCAATGGTTATGCCACAACATCTTTTAAGTATGATCATGACATTACCATTCACAAGTAGTTCTTTGTACCATGTGTTCTTGTTTGATGAGAGTAGCTTGACATTTGATGTTCCTTTGGTCTTTCAGATTGATGTTCCAATGCCAGAACCTGAAAGAAAGAGATCTGGTGTTCTGAGTCATTTCACTGTTGTTAGGAATCCTGAAGGAACTAGCTACCCAATTGGTTGGAAAAAAGAAGTGGCTGACAGAAACTCAAAGAACGGCTGCATTGTTTTAAGTTTTGAAAACAGGTTTCTCGCAGCTCTGTTTCTGTATAGGCTTGTGCTTATGATCCATATATGTATATCATTATCAATTCATGTTGCTTTCATCCAACATTTTTTGTTTTCCTTTTCCCACTTCAGTGAAAGAGCATTGTTGAACAGATTGTTTCTTGAGTTGTACAAATTGGACAGTGATGTCCTTGTTGGACATAACATATCAGGTCTTGATCTTGATGTCCTTCTCCAAAGAGCTCAGGTAAAGCAAATGCTCCTTTGTGATGGTGACGTAACAGGGACATGAAACATCACCTCTCTTTTTTTTTTCTTTCTAAAAACTGAATGATTACTGTGCAGGCTTGCAAAGTATTGAGTAGCATGTGGTCCAAAATCGGCCGTCTCAAACGCTCTTTCATGCCTAAGCTTAAAGGGAACACTAATTTTGGGTCCGGAGCTGCACCAGGGCTTATGTCTTGCATTGCTGGAAGACTCTTATGTGATACATATCTATGTTCTCGTGAATACTTGTTGAAGCAGGTATGATGCTTGACTCTTACAAGCAGTGAACTAAAGCTTCGTCCCTCACTTTTATAAGCTTCTGGTTGTTGCAGGTGATCAGTTATTCGTTAACAGAACTTTCAAAGACACAGCTGAACCGGGACAGGAAAGAGATATCTCCTAATGATATTCCTAAAATGTTTCAGTCATCTAAAACACTTGTGGAACTTGTAAGTTGATGTAAGGTTGATGAGTGATGAGACTGCATCTTAATTGCTTGCTTTCTTTGTATAACCTTTTGTTTTTTTCTTCGGTTTCAGATTGAATGTGGTGAGACAGATGCATGGTTATCAATGGAGCTCATGTTTCATCAAAGTTTTCTTCCTCTCACTCTCCAGCTTACTAACATCAGTGGAAATCTCTGGGGGAAAACTCTTCAGGTAATGAATGATTCCTCTTCTAGCTCCCCTCTCTCTCTCTGGTGACTTATGATTTTTGTGTGTGTTCATTACCAGGGAGGCAAGGCCCAAAGAAATGAATACTACTTATTACATACATTCCACTCGAGAAAGTACATTCTCCCAGACAAAATGTCGCAGCATATGAAGGAAATAAAGTCATCAAAAAAAAGAATCAATCATGGTCCAGAAGACCACAACAATGTAGATGAATTGGATGTTGACTTGGCTTTGGAAAATGATGATCCTTCTAAGGGAAACAAAACAAAGAAAGTTCCAGCTTACGCTGGTGGACTGGTCTTGGAGCCAAAGAAAGGCTTATATGACAAATATGTGTTGCTTCTTGATTTCACTAGTCTTTACCCTTCTATTATACAGGTTAGTGTAGCAGACTTTTGTCTATTTCTCAAGCCTTGGATGGCTCTTTACAGTTGATTGGTCATTGTAATTTCAGGAATATAATATCTGTTTCACCACTATACCAAGATCAGAAGACGGAGTTCCTCGTTTACCTTCTAGTCAGACACCTGGAGTGCTTCCCAAGGTATGTTCACCATTATACTAGTTTTCTTTCTATCGTAACTTTGACTTCTCTCTCCTTGTTCTCTTATGCCAAGAGTAAGATCCTGAATTTCACTTGCCTGTATTTGTTTTTAGTTGATGGAACGTTTGGTCAGGATAAGGAAAAGCGTCAAACTAAAGATGAAGAAGGAAACAGGTCTTAAGTACTCGGAGCTTGACATTCGTCAGGAGGCATTAAAGCTCACAGCCAATAGGTTTGTTTGTATATATGGTTTTGGCTTTTGCTGGCAAGAATGCCCATTTCAACACATTTTGATGTTCATGTTTCATTCTAAAAAACGCAGTATGTATGGATGTCTGGCGTTTCCTCATTCAAGATTCTACGCGATGCCTTTAGCAGAGCTCATAGCACTTCAGGTAAGTTATATTATGCTTTATGTGTTTTCTACTGATAAAATTTTTCTTTGGTTTTCTCTATTCTCATGTGATCCGATCCGGTGAATTCCCTATCATTTCAGGGAAGGGAGATCTTACAAAGAACCGTAGATCTTGTCCAGAATCATTTAAACCTAGAGGTATCTCCTATGCCTTGAGCCGCACGAAAATGCATTTCAGCAGAGAAAGTAATGTAATGTGTCAACAATTCTAATTGAACTTGTTGCTTTTTATGCAGGTGGTTTATGGTGACACAGATTCAATCATGATTCACACTGGACTAGATGATATCGAAGAGGTCAAAGCCATTGGTGCAAAAGTCGTCCAAGAGGTAGGTGCTTTTTGGAGCAATTTGTAGACAAAATTACAATGTAAAATAGGCTAGCAGACATTTGATTCTCTCTTTCAATTTCTAGGTCAATAAGAAGTATAGATGTCTGGAAATTAAACGTGATGGCATATATAAGAGAATGCTTCTTCTTAGAAAAAAGAAGTATGCTGCGGTCAAGTGTGAGTTAAAGGACGGGAAGATTTGCGAGGTAAATATCTAATTTTACACATTCTCAATGCTACCTTTTCTTTTAAGGGTACTATAGGTAGATGCATTCTTAATGCAGGAAATTGAAAGAAAAGGTGTGGACATGGTTCGTCGAGATTGTAGCTTGCTCTCCAAGGAAATTGGAGATTCATGCTTGGCGAAAATCTTCTATGGAGGGTATGTTCTAAAAAACATTCACTCAAACACACATTTTTACTCTCTCATACCAAAGCACAACATCAACAATATCTTGTATTCTTTGCAAGGTCGTGTGAGGATGTTGTTGAAGCCATTCATAACGAACTTATGAAGGTAATTTTTGTTAACTTATTAGCCTTTGTTAATTAGTTTGATCTTCTTTATCATCCAATGCATGTTGCTTTGTCCATGCAACAGATAAAAGAGGAAATGAGAAATGGGCAAGTTGCACTTGACAAGTATGTCATCACCAAGGCATTGACTAAGTCACCAGAAACTTATCCAGATTCCAAAAGCCAACCACACGTTCAGGTCGCACTTAGAATGAGGAAACGTGGTTATAAAGAAGGTTTCAATGCAAAGGACACCGTACCGTATATAATCTGCTATGAACAGGTTCCCAACACAGAAGTACCAGCTTAAACACTATAAAATACCAAATCTGTCTTTCTACTAAATCTTTTTACACTTCTTCCTCTGTGCCAGGGCAATACTAGCTCAGCAAGCTCAGCAGGGATAGCAGAACGTGCTAAGCATCCTGATGAGGTGAAATCAGAGGACAGCAGATGGTTGGTTGACATAGATTACTACTTGGCACATCAGATTCATCCAGTGGTGTCTCGTTTATGCGCAGAGATTCAGGGCACAAGTCCTGAGAGGTTAGCTGAGTGCTTAGGACTTGACCTATCAAAGGTAAAAAAAGCTTTCACTCATTTAAGCCAATCTCCAATTCCAGATATAATGATTGGAAATATAATGTGTTTCTTCTTTTCTTTCTTTAGTATCGAAGCAGATCAAACGATACTACGAGTGGTGATCCTTCTACATCCCTCTTGTTTGCCACAAGCGATGAAGAAAGGTAATAATATCTTAGAGTTTTCGACATTCTTAGAAGTCAAGATCTGCAAGAACGTAATTTATGTAAACAAACGCAGATATAAAAGCTGTGAGCCGTTAGCATTATCATGCCCTAGCTGCTCAGCCGCTTTCAACTGTCCATCAATTACAAGCTCAGTTTGTGCATCGATAAGTAAGAAATCTGAAACAGAGGAATCTGATTCTACATTCTGGCTTAAACTACATTGCCCGAAGTGCGAGGCAGAAGGTATCACAAGACGAATATCCCCTGCAATGATAGCTAACCAGGTAGTTGAAAAGTATCTTAATTAATTTCTAAGTTTCTCAAATTAAAAAAAAGTTTTGTATCCTGAATGGGTTTGTATAACTTATTATGATGCATTTCAGGTGAAAAGGCAGATTGATGGGGTTGTGTCAATGTACTACAAAGGCATAATGATGGTATGCACATAAAACCTTCTCACTTGCCTCATTCCGAACACCTTTTGTTATCAAGTCAGGCTTACGAAATGTTTCTTGTACAATTTTGCCTTCAACAGTGTGACGAAGACTCTTGCAAGTACACGACTCGCAGCCCCAACTTTCGTCTGCTCGGTGACTGTGAACGTGGAACAGTTTGCCCAAATTATCCTAACTGTAATGGAAGCCTCTTAAGAACGGTATATGCCCTTATCCTCTTATCTTTCTGTTGCTTTGTAGGACAAGTTTTGACTCCCAGCCTTTGTCTTATTAACAGTACACTGAAGCAGACTTGTACAAGCAGCTGTCATACTTTTGCCACATATTAGATACACAATGCTCTCTAGAAAAGGTTTCTACTGTGCAACCTCATTGTTTCTTATGTTAAGTGTTACACAATCAGTTTGTGTTGTCTAGATCTCTAATAACCTCTATGGCATTTGAAAAAAAAAGCAGATGGATGTTGGTGTCAGAATTGAAGTAGAGAAAGCAATGACGAAGATAAGACCTGCGGTTGAGTCAGCAGCATCTGTGGCTCGAAGTATACGTGACCGGTGTGCTTACGGATGGCTCCAACTCACAGACATAGCCATTTGATAGTTGTAATAACCCATTACATGTTGTTAAGTTTAAATCATCTCATCTTCAAAGTTTATGTAATTGTGTCCATCTTCAAAGTTTGGTTGATACAATATTTAGCAGGTCCATCTTCAGAGTTTGGTAGATTTTTGCTCGGTACACTATTCTTGCTTTTAGTGTGTAGAACTATGAATACTAAAAATAGAGCCGAGAGTAGAAGATAGTCAAAATAGTGTGTTTGCGACTTCAAAAAAAAAGTTAATGAAAATCATGGTACGTAAAGTTTCTCTGTTTCTTCATTCACTTGCTAATGCTCTGTCACTGTATGGATCTTATTTACAGAACCAATCTAGATAGATCTTCTGCATCCCCAATACAATGAACAAGTCTGTTAGAAGAGTTGGTTATTAGGATTTAAGAAAGAGAGATAGGAAACAGACTTTCACAAAGTTACATGCATGCCAACGAGTGACGGTCATGTCTATCATCTACCAACACTAGAAAAGTAATACATGTTATAAACTCTCTTGGCCACTTATGGTCAAGGAAATTGAAATACCTTCTCACTTAAAAACTATGCAGAAGACAAGATCACACATACTTAACCAACAACATATATCAATTCTCTCAAACAAAACATGTGGTTTGTGTCTAAAGAGACTTGGATTGTGAGAAGAGAACACACAGTTTCTTAGATCTCACCTTCCTTGTCCGTCCAAGATCGTGTGAGTAACAAACATAGTTATTGACGAAGTCCTTGAATTGGGGACACCAGAGGCAGATGATGATGCTTCCATTGAAACTGGCATAAAAGCTCCAATACCTGGAGTATACGGCGAGATATCCGGCAAGGTTAGGTCCAGGTTTAAATATTGCACAACTTGTCCCATTGTAGGCCTTGATTCTGGCATAGCATTTGTGCAGAGCAACCCAAGTTTCAGAACCATCTCTACTTCCTCCGACACGAAGTCTCCTCCCAATCTTGGATCTCTGGTCTCGAGTAAAGAAGCTCTTTTCCAGCATTCACAAACCCACTTGACCAGATATTGCTTTCCCACAGGCAACTCAGGTTCCACGGGTCGTCTTCCACAAGTTACTTCAAGAAGGAAAGCACCAAAGGCATACACATCGGTCTTCGTAGAAGTTCCCATTGATATTAGCTCAGGTGCCATGTAACCGATGGTTCCCACAGCGGCTGTTGCAGATAAGTTAGCTCCATTGTCATGAAACTTAGCCATACCAAAATCTCCTAACCTTCCATTGAACTCAGAATCTAACATGACGTTGGCAGATTTTATATCTCGGTGCAGAACAGCTGGTTTAGATCCTGTATGCAGGTAACTGAGAGCAGAGGCAATGTCCTTAAGAATAGAAATCCTTTGCAACCATGAAGGAGATGGGTTTTGGTTATGAAACAAGTACTGGTCAAGACTACCGTTGGGCATGTACTCAGACACCAGAAGTAACTCACCTTTTCTTCTGCAATATCCAAGAAGAGGAACCAAGTTCCGATGCTGTAGATTTCCCATAGTCACAACTTCTGCCACAAACTGTTTCATTCCTTGCTCTGCATCGTGAGACAGTCTCTTCACAGCTATGTGTCTGCTTAAAGGTAGAGTTCCCTTGTAGACTTCACCAAACCCACCTTTCCCAACACGAAAGTCTTTGCTAAACCCGCTTGTTGCTTTGTACAGAGACTTGTAGGAGAATCGGTGTGGGCCATATTCCTTTTCCCACGAGTCTCTTACTTCTGCGTACTTGTTTCTCCTGTACCAATAAACTCCTCCAAGAACCATCAGCACAAGGAACACCAATAAGACAACCAAACCAATAAGCAGTGGAGATAGTTTCTCCGGTTCATCTTTAGGAAGAGGAGCCTTCTCCGTTTCATCTCTAGGAAGAGGAGCCTGAGGAAGTTTAGAGAGGTCCAGGCTCTGTAAACGTTCTTTGCTTCTACTAAAGCTCCACCCGAGTATATACTGGTTACTGGTCAATTTTCCTGTTGCTGCAGAGAACCCAAAATACATCTTATCTTGAAAAACTTCAGACAGATTGATGGCTCTTGATATAAGAGGCACATTTGGTTTCTGGATTTCTATTGGGGCCAGTGAGACATTTAGCAATGATCCATCGTAATCCACCCAAACCTGGATAGGCTCCCCACTCAGGAGATTTATGCTTATATTCGTCCCTAAGGCGTTGGAAAAGTAAGACGGGAAGGCAGACTCAACAGATATGGGGCTGTTCACATCAATCCCAACGTGAGGCTTTTCCAACTCATTAAACTCTATTGTCCTAACTGTATCGAGTTCAACAGCTAGCAGATGAGAAGAAGAAGAAGAAGTACCATTTACTGGGTTGCTGAAGACGCCCAAGTACTGAGTTGTAGATCCATGGGAGAGATTCATGGAAGGAGATACAACAAAGGCAATTCCCATGGCCACCATCAGCGCCCAACTTAGGAGGCACCAACGCACATACAAACTGTGTATAGAAGGAGAGTGATGAAGATGGATGGAAAACAAATGGCTGCTTGAAGAAAGCATGACCCGTTTGAAACTCTGATGCATTTGTCAACTGCAAAAGCCCACCAGGAAGGATTCTGGCGAGCCCATCAACATAAAGGTCTGCTTGATCGAAGCCATTGTAGACAAACCCGGTTTCTTGTTGACCTGACAGAGAAATCAAATGAACGCAGGAGAAGATCAAAACCAGATACAGTCCACAAGTCATTATTACTGAAAGAGAGTCTGAATTTGATGATTAGAATTTTTCTCTGCACTCAGTAAGAATCAATCTCTATACAGCTGCAAAACTTCAGGATAAAAAGTCAAACTAAATTTTCAAAATTCCATGTCCTCCAAATTAACTAACATTTTTCTGCTATGGAACTGTAGTCAGCCAACGCAAAATGTATTCCCAATAGGCATCACAAATTTGACCCCATGTCCATGATAATATAATCAAAGAAAACCATGACAAAGACCATAATTATTGCATAATCAAATCCATCATGTAAATTAAAATACTGCTGGTAAAACATTTTATGGTCTACTCTTGGTTATTCCAATGTCAACTGAAACAAACATAAGCAAGCTAAGTACTTCCCTCTTGCAGAAATATTTCCGAAAAAATCTCAAATAACTTGGAATACAGCTGGTTCAATTGCATTCAAAAACGTATAAGTTAGATAACACATATGTATTCAAAAGATTATAAAACCTCTAGTCTTTCGTATATTCAACAAGTATTTAGGTAGTCCCCTAAACTTTTCAAGAGACACAGTAATGAGTAAACCAACTTTTCTTGGTCAAATTGATAAATTCCTTCAGAAGAGAACCACAAAAAATAAAATGCAGACTAAAAGTTGAATCCAGAGGCAGTTTCTATCGAATTTTTTTTCTCCAAATTAATTACTTGATTTAAGGTCGTAAAAAAAAAAATTACTTGATTTAAGAAAAAATCGCTGACCAAGTCACAAAAGTCACAATCTTCAGATCATTCCCCGGTCATTTTCTCTCCGACTATTCCAAGTCCGACCCTAAATTTGCTCATCATTATCCAGAAATATGAAACATACCGGGAAACTATAAGCTGTACAGATCGGAGCTTTGTTGGCGGCGTTCTTCTCTGTCACCGGAAGAATCGAACAAATACTTAGACGGTAGCGTCATCGACAGCGAGATTCCGGGACGGAGGCGTGAGGGAAGGTCACTCACTAGGTGGAGTGTTTAGACGCGTGTAACTCACGCGTTTCAGAAGTTTTCATTATTACAAATTCGGGCCAGTAGTTTATCCCAAAAGAGGCCCATTATGTGGCCCACTTTGAAGGAACCTCAGTACAGTGGTCAGTAATTAACTCGGAAGAAACTGATTTTATTTGGTTAAAAGTAGAAAGTACTGTAGATGTTGTTCTTTTGGCTAGGCTACGCAATGGATAATTATTCAAACTTGCTAACTAATTACCCGATCAGTAAAAGTAAAAACACACTCTGAAATACAACGAAGAAGATCTGAAAACATTCACAAGTTAGATGATTGTTTGGAGAATGAATTGCTTCAATGAGATCACTCAGCAACAATGCCTTGAAGTCAACATTTGTACCTAATCGATATTCAAAAGTCAAAGACCTTTATTACCTGCCACTGTATGGCTTGGAGAGACGAGACTCAATGTCTTCTGATTCCGCAACTATTTTAACAGAGTTCTTAGCTTCCAACATTTGTTCATAATCCTTTGAGTTGTTAGCTGATGAAGAAGAAACCGAAGGAGCTGACCAGTTCCTTGCAGTACACGACACTGTGAGCGAAGCTGCATCAACCACTACAGGACTAAAAGCTCCAATCCCAATTGTATACGGTGAAAACTCCGGCAACGCCAGGTTCTCGTTTAAGTAAAGAACCACTTGTTCCATCGTCGGTCTCGATTCCGGCACTATGTTAGTACACAGCAACCCAAGTTTCATAACCAACTCGACTTCTTCAGACACGAACTCTCCTCCAAATCTTGAATCTTTAGCGTCAAGCAAAGAATCTTTCTTCCAACACTCGCAAACCCATTTGATCAGATATCGTTTCTCAGCATCCATCCCAAACTCCACAGGCTTCCTCCCACAAGCTACTTCAAGCAAGAACACACCAAACGCATAAACATCGGTCACAGTAGAAGCTCCCATTGTTATTAGCTCTGGCGCCATGTAACCAACAGTCCCAACCGCTGCTGTTGTAGCTGCGTTGCCTCCATGGTCATGAAACCTAGCCATACCAAAATCACCTAACCTTCCGTTTAACTCAGCGTCTAACATAACGTTAGAAGCTTTGATATCTCTGTGAAGAACGACTTGTTCAGCTCCAGTATGAAGATAAAACAGAGCAGACGCTATGCCTTTGAGAATCACAAGACGTGTTGACCAAGAAAGATCAAGACTTTGCTTTTCATCAAACAAATGCTGGTCAAGACTCCCATTAGGCATGTACTCAGACACAAGTAAAAGCTCTCCTTTTCTTCTGCAATACCCAAGAAGTGGAACAAGATTCCTATGTTTTAGACTTCTCATGCTCACCACTTCAGCTACAAATTGCTTCATACCTTCCTCACCATGATGAGACACTCTCTTCACAGCTATAGGTTTGTTTGAAGGAAGATCTCCTCTGTACACTACTCCAAAACCTCCTCTTCCAAGAAACCCATCTTTGTGAAACCCTTTTGTTGCTATGTATAAAGACTTGTAAGAGAAGCGATGTGTGCCATATTCCTTTTCCCATGGCTCTTTTACTTCTGCATACTTCTTCTTCCTCTTGTAATAAACTCCTGCAAGAACAGCTATTACTATGATACCAAGAACAACGACCGGAGCTATAAACAGACCATATTGTTTCACTTTTTTATGCTCAACACTAAGCCGAGGAACTCTAGGAAGCTTTGAGATGTCAAGTAGCTGTAATGATTCACTTCTTGTGCTGAAACTCCATCCAAGAAGATAATGGTAGCTTATCGCTGTCCCTGTTGCTGCAGAGAACCCAACGAACAGGTTTTCACTTCGAAACACTTCTGAGAGATTGATGGATCTTGACAAAAGAGGACGACTTGGCTTCTCAGCTTCAAGAGGAGCCACAGAAACATTGAGTAAAGTTCCCTTGTAATCAATCCAGACCTGTATAGGATCTCCACTAGAGAGGTTTAGTCTCACATTCCTCTGTTCTTTTCTTGAAAAGTAAGAAGCTGGCGCTGATTCGACTGAAATGGGACTGTTCACATCGATCCCAACGTGATTATTGCTCGTCTCACCGAAGTCTAAGTTTTTAACAGTGTCGAGCTCAACAGCAAACAGCTGAAAAGAGTCATCTCCATTTGTTGAGGCGTTGAAGATCCCCAAGAACCGAGCTGGTTGAGCCAATGTGAGATCCTCAGAAGGAGATATCACAAAGGTAATGCCATGGCCGCTTTGAAATCCTGGCTTAGGCACGAGAGCACAGACGAAGTGTGTTGAGAACGAGAGTGGTTTTGAGGAGCTGAAGACGATTGGTTTCTTGATGAAAGCATGACCCTTTTGATGCTGCGAGTCATTGACAAGCTTCAATAATCCATTGGGAAGCAATGTAGAAGAGCCACCAAGAGAAAGGTTTGCTTTTGTAAAGCCGTTGAAGATAAAGCTTGTATCTTCTGATGAAGATATTAGATGAAAAGAAGAGATGAACAAGAACAGAAGCAATCTATTAGACATTGATGCTGATGATGTGAAACAGAGAGATTTTTGCAGGTCTTTGTTAGCAAGCTGCAGAGAGAAAAGGAAGTACATATTGATTATAAAAACTACACAGATTCATTTCTTTATTGGCATTACAAACTGTAAGTAACAGCTAGATAATGTTTTAGAAATCAACATATCTACACATGGTTTTCAAATGTTTATATTCAGAGATTAGTTTAAACAGAAATAAGTCCAAAGAAAACAAAGGAAAGTGCTAGAATCATGCTAACAAACAGCAAAATTCATTAAACTAGGCGTTACATGTGTCTTGGACTTAGTACCCACAATCTTTTACCGGATTTTCCTCATAACTTCAGCTACTTATTTAATTTCTTATGACACAAAGACTTTTAAAATATAATACTAGATCAGAAGAATCCAGGAGGCATTGATGCTAATGAATAAGAGAGTTCTAGTTCCCGTTCTCGTTCTCTGTGCAGGTTTTTTCCTCTTTGATCAAACAGGATTTGGTGAACTTATGCTAGTAGTAATCACACCCTAGCAAGCATCATATGTTTAACTTTTTTTTATTAGCTTTACAAACTTTATATAAATTAAGAACTGCTTCACGTTGTCAATCAAATATTCTACTAACTCAGACATTACTTTAACATAAATGATCATAGGCTCATAGCATTAGTCAGAAACGTAGGCCACTAGTACTACCAAAAGAAAAGATCATTAAGTTAATCATATTTAAAGTGATATCTTATGATGATTAATACTCCTAGAGAAAAAGGTATTCAAAAGTAAAAGGAATCAAAGCCTAGGGAAAGCCAAGCACACAGTTATATTGTAGAATCAATATTGAAGTAGGTACATAAAATCAAGCTTAAGGCAAGTCAAAACAGAGACAATGCAATCTTCACGTTTAAGTCTTCTCCTATTATTTCTTTAACCTTTCTCATGGAAATTAGAACTCAGCTCAATGAGATTGTCCTCTTTTTTGGGCCTTGACGCGGCTTAGTTCTCTTTGACAAAATGATTGGTATCTATACTGAAAGGAGATTTGTACAAAGAAGTTGAAGATTACTCAAATACAGATACGGCATGAAACCATCACACTGGTTATATATATATATATATATATATATATAAATATTTAGTGTTAATACACTATCAAAATTATGAACCCTAAAAGCATTTCTACAAAAAGACTCCAAACACTACTTTTACAATGATGGATAATCTTTGTGTAATATCAAAATATACCTCACACAAGAGGAGCACAATGGCAAGCCTGCTAACCAGAAAATTACTTCACACCAGCCTAACATTGCTTTTATCATCTCAAAACACACACAAAAAACTAAGATTACAGGAGCATACTTCTCAGACTTTTACCGTCCATGCCCATGAACAATCGAATGAGTAACAAACGTAGTGTCATTGGCCGAGGAAGAAGTGTAAAAGGACGCTGACAAGTTCTTGGTAATAGGGGAAGCAGGGAAAGGGTTTGATCCGAGCAGGGAGAAAGACCCGATACCAGTCGAATTCGGAGAGATATCAGGAAGCTTCAAGCTTTCATTCAAGTATTGCACAACTTCTTCCATAGAAGGTCTCATTTCCGCCACAGCATTTGTGCAAATCAACCCAAGTTTCAACACCATCTCAACTTCCTCAGCTGAAAACTCACCTCTCAATCTGGCATCTCTAGCTCCAAGCAAAGAAGCCATTCTCCAACATTGGCAAACCCACTGAACCAAAAACCGTCTCTCACCTTCCAAACCAGGCTCAACAGGTCTCCTCCCACACGTTACTTCAAGCAAAAATGCACCAAAACCATAAACGTCGGTCTCCGTGGAAGCTCCCATTGTAGAAAGCTCTGGCGCCATGTAGCCAATGGTTCCCACAGCAGAAGTTGTAGCAGGATCCGCACCGTGATCATGAAACCTCGCCATACCAAAATCACCTAACCTCCCGTTGAACTCTGCGTCTAACATAACGTTAGAAGCCTTGATATCTCTGTGTAGAACAACTTGTGGAGCTCCTGTATGCATGTAGTTGAGAGCTGAAGCTATGTCCTTGATGATTACAAGCCTTCTTCGCCACGAAAAGGGAGGTTTATCTTGATGGAACAAGTATCTGTCAAGACTACCATTAGGCATGTATTCAGATACAAGAAGCAACTCACCTTTTCTTCTACAGTAACCAAGAAGTGGAACCATGTTCTTGTGTTTCAGATTACCCATGCTCACTATTTCAGCTACAAACTGTTTCATACCTTCCTCTGCATCGTGAGAAACCCTTTTCACTGCTATTTCTCCATTGGATGAAGACAGAGCTTTTCCTTTGTAAACATTTCCGAAACCTCCTTTTCCAAGAAGTCCATCTTTGTGAAACCCTTTCGTTGCATTGTACAGAGCTTTATAAGAAAAACGATGCGGGCCATATTCTTTTTCCCATTCTTCTCTTACTTCTGCATACATCCTTCTCCTGTAAACATAAGCTCCTCCAAGAGCCAACAACCCTATGATCGCCAGTAAAATGAGAAGAACAATAAGCAGTGTTGATGGTCTCTTCTTTTTAGCTCCATGAGAAGGAACTTTAGGAAGTTTAGTGACATCAAGGCTCTGCAATGAAACTTTTCTTCTACTAAAACTCCATCCAAGTATGTATTGGTAGCTGACCAGTGTCCCGGTTGCTCCAGAGAAGCCAAGAAAGATCTTTCTTCCCGGAAAAATCTCTGAAATGTTGATGGATTGTGACAAAAGAGGCTGACTTGGCTTCTTGATTTTAAGAGGAGCCAAAGAAACATTAAGCAAGCTTCCTCCATAATCAACCCAGACTTGAATAGGATCTCCACTCAAAAGCTTTATATCTTTGTTTATACCTTCAATCTCGGAGAAGTAAGAAGCCGGAGTAGATGCAACAGATATGAGGCTATTAACATCGATTCCAACGTGATTGTTATTGATGTCATCAAACTCAGAGCTGAGTGCGGTATCTAGCTCAACAGCAACTATGTGAGAAGAATTAGATCCTTGCGTCGAGATGTTGAAGATTCCCAAGTACTGTGTTGCATCTGCTTGAGTTAGATCCATGGAAGCAGATAAAACAAAGGCAATACCATGACCACCATTGGCTCCTGGCACCAAGGCACACACAAAATGTGTTGAGAAAGAGAGTGATTCAGGTGAAGTGAACACAAGAGGCTTCTTGATGAAAGCGTGGCCCATTCTCTGTCCTGATCCATCGGTTAATTGTAACTGTCCTTTAGGAAGAATCTTGGCAAGACCGTCAGTGTAAAGGTCTGCTTGGTGAAAGCCGTTGAAGATAAAGTTTGGCTCCTCTTGTTGACTTGAGATGCAAGTCAGATGAACACAGAAGATCATCCATATCAGATGCAATCCTTGAGCCATTTTGTGAAGAAAAAACAGAGAAGAATCAGACTATCTTGAACGAATCTTTTGTCCTGGATGATAATTTTCTCCAGCTGTGTATATAATATGAAGTCCAATCATTTTCATTGCCCAAGTCCACGATAAAACATTTTCTTTCCATTGAATTTGTCGAGAACAATGCAAACAATTTATGTATGAGCATTTCAGAGTTGACTTGGTAAAATGTAATGAACATTAGTACATTATAAACCAAACAACAATAGTTTAAATATAACAGTCCCTAAATTATTAGAGTCAAATAAAAAAAATTTGAGACTTCTCTATCACTCCCTAGTTTAAGAATATACTCCACACTACTCTTCTATCACCAAGACCAAGCCCCACCACCATCCTGAACTCTGAATCTTTAGTTTAAAGAAGAATGTTTTACTGGCTCCAATATATTTGCATGTCTACATAAATAATTTTCCCAATAGAGAAACACTTCAAAGTCAAGAAACAGTTAAGAACTAATTACTTATTATGTCAAAAAGGACCAGGCATTTAGAAAGAGATGTACGGACTTTTCTAGCTAGGAATGGTTCAACACCACTGAAACACGGCATAGTCAACAATTTGCCTGCGTAACTGAGAACGGTAACACAGTGAGTCAGTGATCATGATGAAGAGGAACAAGCATCATTGTTTTCCAATTTGATGAAACATAAGGCGTGTAGAAATGTTGTGTGCTCTATAGCTTGAATAAATCGAACCGTGTTAAACCGGGGATTAACTTCAATATTAATCCGTAAAGTATAAAATAAATACAAATTGGTCACCAATTCGACCCCAGCCAACGTGGTATTCACTCTGCATGAAGAGTAGCCAACCACGAGGGTTCGAGCAATATTGGTACCGATACCGAGAAATTTCTCTACGCTTCCCCGGCAACTAGTTGTCGGAACCCCGGAAGCAAACGACGGCGACGGAATCACACAGTCGACTGTGTGGTTTCCAAATTACCAGTCTTCCGAGAGGATGTTCTGATGAAACGAAACACTATACATGATCATGCCTCTCTTTTTTCTTTTTCTTTTTTAATTTACCCAACCTATCATTATTTCCCTAGAACAGTAAAATCAATATATCTGTTACCACGAGATTGATAATTGATTGTCGTGACCATGTTTATAGATA